GTCCCCAGGTGTCCCCAGGTGTCCCCAGGTGTGTCCCCAGGTGTGTCCCCAGGTGTGTCCCCACCTTTGATGATGGATTTCATGTCACACTTGGAGGAGTCGATGTTGTGCAGGGGTCCCTGTCCCCATGTCCCTGTCACCCCTGGGTGTCCCTGTCACCCCCCAGGTGTCCCCAGGTGTCCCCAGGTGTCCCCAGGTGTCCCTAGGTGTGTCCCCAGGTGTGTCCCCACCTTTGATGATGGATTTCATGTCACACTTGGAGGAGTCGATGTTGTGCAGGGGTCCCTGTCCCCATGGGTGTCCCCATGTCCCTGTCACCCCTGGGTGTCCCTGTCACCCCCAGGTGTCCCCAGGTGTCCCCAGGTGTCCCCAGGTGTCCCCAGGTGTCCCCAGGTGTGTCCCCAGGTGTGTCCCCACCTTTGATGATGGATTTCATGTCACACTTGGAGGAGTCGATGTTGTGCAGGGCGATCAGGAGCTCCCCGGGGTTCAGGGGGGACACGGCCGAGGCGCCGTCACCTGCGGGGACACCAGGTGTGACAGGGGACACCAGGGGGTGACAGGGGACACGGGGCGTGACATCCCACACTGTCCCCAGGTGTCCCCAAACTGTCCCCAATCCTTCCCAAACTGTCCCCACCCTGTCCCCAGCTGTCCCCAGGTGTCCCCAAGCTGTCCCCAGGTGTCCCCAGGTGTCCCCAGGTGTCCCCAAGCTGTCCCCAGGTGTGTTCTAGACTGGGTTCTAGACTCGGTTCTAGATCAGGTTCTAGACTGGGCTCTAGACGTGTTCCAGCTGTCCCCAGGTGTCCCCAGGTGTCCCTAGGTGTCCCCAGGTGTGTCCCCAGGTGTCCCCAAGCTGTCCCCAGGTGTCCCAGGTGTCCCCAGGTGTGTCCCCAGGTGTCTCCATGTCCCCCCAGGTGTCCCCAGGTGTGTCCCCAGGTGTCTCCATGTCCGCCCAGGTGTCCCCATGTCCCCCCCGTGTCCCCCCTGCTCACTTCTGGCAGGGGTGATCCTCGGTTCGGGGCAGGGTGGGGTCCTGGGACACGTCAGCGATGATTTGGGTCAGCTCGCTGGGAGACAGGCATGGCCCTGCTGCACAGACCCGCCCCAGAAACACCCAAAACCACCCAAAATACACCCAAATACAACCAGAAATACACCCCAAATACACCCCAAAATACACCCAAATACAACCAAAAATACACCCAAAAATACACCCCAAATACACCCAAAATACAACCAAAAATACACCAAAAAATACACCCAAAACCACCCCGAAATACACCCGAAATACACCCCAAAATACACCCAAAATACAATCAAAAATACACCCCAAATACACCCCAAATACACCCAAAAATACACCCAAAAATATACCCAAAATACACCCCAAAAACAACCCAAAATACACCCCAAATACACCCAAAAAATATACCCCAAAGACACCTAAAATACACCCCAAACACACCCCAAAACACACCTAAAATACACCCAAAATACACCCAAAAATGCACCCCAAATGCACCTAAAATATGCCCAAAGATACACCCCAAATCTGGGAATATTTGGGAATATTTGGGAATATTTAGGGATATTTAGGGAATGTTTAGGGATATTCAGGGATATTTAGGGAATGTTTAAGGAATATTTAGGGAATGTTTGTGGCTCTCACTCCACTTCGTGCGTGATCTTGTTGACGTAGATGCAGCTGTTGTCGGCCTCCTGCTGGTAATCGCAGTTCCTGCACTGGAACCCAAACTGGGATGGACTGGGAGGGACTGGGACAAACTGGGGAGAACTGGGGGAGGGAACTGGGAGGGACTGGGACAAACTGGGACAGACTGGGAGGGCCCGGGCCCAGTCCAGAACTGGTCCCAGTTTGGGCACTCACGGCATAGAGCAGGATCCGGTTCTCCTTGTCCTCCTTGGGGTACAGCATGTTGTTACTGGGCAAACTGGGATTACTGGGAGGCTCCGAGGGGGGAAATCCCCCGTTTTCCCTCACAAAATTCCCAGTTTTCCCTCACAAAATTCCCGGTTTTCCCCCCTCACAATTCCCGGGTTTTCCCCTCACAATTCCCAATTTTCCCCCTCACGATTCCCGCTGTTCCCTTCACGGTTCCCGCCA